CGGTGTATCTGGAGCCGATCGTTGTATCCTAATGCCGTTCTTATGCAAAAACTTATTAAATTCAGTCCCCGTGTACTCGCCTCCTCGATCGCTACGAAGAGCCTTGATTCCAAATCCAAATTGATTCTGCGTCAGTTGGTGGAATTCCTTGAATTTCTCAATAGCCTCTGATTTTTCTTTTAGCAAGTAAATCGTTGTGTATTTTGAAAAATCATCAATAAACGTTAGGATGTACCGCTTACCTCGAGCAGTAGTCGTCTGCATAGGTCCGCAAACGTCACTGTGGATTAGATCTAAAACCGATGTTGATTTTGTTCCTGACTCTTTCGGGAATGGTAATCGTGTCATTTTCCCTTTTATGCAGATTTCGCATTCACGTTTGCAATCCGCCCCACAAGCCAAGATCTTCATTCCGTTAACCATTTGATTGGAGCTTGCTTGATTGCCTTCATGTCGCGGTGGCCAAGTACTCGATGCCACTCATGAATGCATAGCCCCTGCTCGTCCGCTACAGCATTTACCTGATGAATTCTCGTTCTCAATTTGTATAAGTTTCCATTTATGTCACCAACTCCGACTTGTCGTCTGCCATCTGTAGACCAAATTTCACACGTTGTTCCATTGAAGTTTACTCGAAATCCTATGTCCGTCAGTCGCTTTACTGATACCAGGTTCGTTTCAATTGACGGAACGAATAATACTTCATTCATCAACACCCGTGATGATTCACCAATTGCGTTTGTCAAGTACAGGCGGACCTTCCCTCTTCCGAGCGCTTGAACTTCATCACCATTTGCCATGGTGATCACTTCATCGTGTGTCTCATCCAATTCGATGAAATCGCTTCGATTGCAACCAATGTGGCACGTTGCACCTGAATCTAAAATCCAACCATCAGTCTTTCCGACTAAAAATAAAAGCTCACCTTTGTCGTTGAATTGCTGTATGCAATTTGCCCCGTGCTTGGATCCACCATCATTGTTGCCATGATCCGTCTTCCATCGGTTATATTTTTGGCAGTCACGCTTGAAATGGCCCGGCTTCTTGCAAAAATGACATGTCAATTTCTTCACTGCCGAATTTGTCGCCTTTTGATTTCCTTTCGCGATTATCTTGAGTGCTGCATCACCATTTCCAGCATTCCCAGCACTGTCGCGTGCTGATCTTCTACGGTACTCCTCCATGATAACACTCTTTATTGTGTTGATGTTGATTTCATCCTCACGTCGCGATTGAATTGCTAGTACAAGTCCATCATAGCTTTTAGGTAGAGAATTCAACAATGTTGCACACAACATAAATTCCGGTTCAAAACTACCGAGTGCTAACAGCTTCTGAAACATCTCGGTCATTGCATGCACATGTGCCAAAATGTCGTCATTCTCATTGGCACGTTTTCCGACGATTTCTGTCAATAATCGCATTTTGTTACCTGGAGTATCTCGCTCATGTACCTCTTTCAATGCTCTCCACGAGTCTTTGGCCGTATCAATTCCACGAATGTGCTTGATTTGGTTGTCATCCACTGACAATCGAATACATGTAACAGCAGCCGCATTTTTCTTTTCCCATGCCGCGGCCAACGCTGCATCTTGTGGTTTAACTTCCGTAATTGCTGTCCACAAGTCCTTGTGTTGGAGAATCGTTTCCATGCGGAAACTCCAATTAAAATAATTCGTATCATCAAGTAACTTTACTTGATATTTTGAGCTGTTTTCATCCAATACGACCGACATCTTACTTATCCGAAATCTCGTAGAAACTTTATTTGCTCGACGCTTCTGGGCCCATAACCTATTGGGCAATTACTTAATTGCTGTACGCACTGGATGAGCAAATAAAGACACACTGGAGCTTTATGATAAATACACTTTAGAAAATATATTTATTCCTCGAATAATGTCGTGAAAAGTATAAAGAGAGTATGAACTTTATATTGTAGTGATTGCGACTGTAAGTAAGAATTACGTGAAGAAGCGAAGAACAAAAAAAAGAAACAAAAACATGGCCGCTGCCATAGTAACAGATAAATAAAATATAATTGGTGGAAACGACAGCATGACCATTTGTTCTCGTCTCGCCGGTCGAAAACTCGCTCGTTGCGGTTGGAGACGGAGAGTGATGTGGATTGGAAATCGAGACGACGCTTCACACAGTTTACTTCACTCACAACGTATTTAATTGTTCGATAAATAAGACTGAGTTCACTCAGGTACAAATGAGCCGAAATACAGACACGTAATTCGGCCCCGAAAAGCCGTCGCTCGCTCGTGTGACGATCGATAGAAGCTCAGATCGCACACTCACTCTGAAGCGCGCGAAAACGATACGCGCGGGGCCTCCTTCCCCTTGCCCCGAGCTCCTCGATCCACCCTGCAAGCAAGGGAAGGACGCCCGCGCTGCCGAATATGACAATACTAAATAAAGGGAAAAACGCTGAGTCGGCGCGGTGACAATAGCATGTTTTCGATATCGGGATCGAAAACATGTTTCGATCGCGCGACCTTCGTAATTCGGCCGCCGATATCTCGCGGATTTTCGCTCGCTCTCCAACATACCGCCCGCCTCGTCCTAGCGACGAAACAGGGTGGAGATGTAGGGCGGCCGCCCGCCGTGATTCGCTCGCCTGGTTGACTCTATGAGTCCGATGACCCGGGTAGCGGACAGATCTTCGCGATCGGCCGCTTCAACGTGGCGATGGCCGTGTCGACGGTCACCACGCGGACCAGTCCATCAGCTCCCGGATGTACCGCTCGCACCCGTCCGAGCGCCCATTTGGCAGGTGGCAGAAGGTTGTCTCGCAGCAGCACGAGGGCGCCGGGTTGGATGTTGGCCGTGCGTTCCCTCCACTTGCCCAATTGTTGGAGGTGCTGCAGGTACTCCTGCGACCACCTGTGCCAAAAATGATCACGCATATTAGTGATCAGTCGTGATCTGATCGTTATCTGTCCCGGGGGGATCCTCAACGTGGAGGGCTCCGGTACATTGATCGGAGCCTCCCCGATGAGGAAGTGACCGGGCGTCAGAGCCACAAAGTCCGTGGGGTCCGCGCTCAGCGGACAGAGCGGCCTCGAATTGAGGCATGCCTCAATTTGGCAGAGGAGTGTGGAAAGCTCCTCGTAAGTCGGGGTCTGCTCCCCGAGGACGCGTCGGAGGTGGTGCTTTGCGGACTTGACCCCAGCCTCCCATAGCCCGCCAAAGTGTGGAGCCGAAGGTGGGATGAAGCCCCACTCGGTGCCGTCGGACGCCAGCAACTCCTTGCACTCCTGGTGGAATTTCGAGGCGGCACCGAACATCTCGCGGAGTTCCCGGTCCGCACCCCGGAAATTCGTCCCGTTGTCGCTCGTCAGATGCGCGCAGCGACCTCGTCTTGCCACGAATCGCCTGAAAGCAGCTAAAAAGGTTGTCGTTGAAAGATCGGAAACCGCTTCTAAGTGTACGGCCTTAGTGGCCATACAAACGAATAGGCATATGTAGCCCTTGTAGGACTTGTGCCCTCGTCCCTTCGAGGTGCGTAGCTGGATTGGCCCGGCATAGTCCACTCCTGCGGACAAGAACGGGCGCACAGCCCGCACACGATCGGCCGGCAGCTGTCCCATCTGTTGCTGTGCCGCTGTGGTTCGGAAGCGCGCGCATCGCACGCAACGGTGGATTACGGCGCGAATGAGCGTGTTGGCGTGAATCACCCAATACCGACGGGCCAAGACGCTCCGCGTCAGTTGAGGCCCCCCATGGAGCGTACGGTGGTGCGCGTCACGCACCATCAAAAGCGAGAGATGACTCCCCTTCGCCAGGATGATCGGGTGCTTCTCGTCGTAATTCAGCGGCGCGTTCTCCAGTCGTCCGCCTATCCGTATCAACCCATCCAGTCCGAGGAATGGCCGCAGTGCCCGCAACGGTGACTTCCTCGGTAAAGGGGCTTCGCGAGTGAGGGCCTCGAGCTCGCCCGCGAAGTCCTGCCGCTGCACGATCCGAATCCATCGTAGGCGGCAATCGTCCAGTTCCTGGGCTGAGAGGTGAGTCGTTCTCGTCCGCGCCCCTCGTCTGAGGACCCTAAGACAGAACGCGCTAACGCGTATTAGTTTAGCGAGAGAGGAGAATCTTACGAGAAGTTCGTTTTCTTCGTTCTCGCCGCGTCCCACCGTGGCTGCGTGCAAGCGGCGCTCCTCGTTGCTCTCGACGTCGTTACGCGCCTCCTTCGGCCAAGACTCGGTTGGACCCGCCAGCCAAGGGGGGCCCTTCCACCATAGTCGAAGACTGGAGAGTTCGCTGGGCGAGATGCCTCTAGTGGCAGCATCTGCCGGATTCTCCGCCGTAGGAATGTGGCGCCAGCGATCGGCCGGCACGATCCCCTGGACAGCGGCCACTCGGTTGGCCACGAACGGCTTCCAGCGGGAGGGGTGAGCCCGCAACCATGCCAGAACTACCCTGGCATCAGTCCAGGCATAAAGATGCTCGCTTGTGAGTCCGAGTCCCGTGGCCGTCCGTTGTAATAGTCGCGCGGTGAGCAGGGCCCCACACAGCTCCAGTCGTGGAATCGACACCGGCTTCACCGGTGCGACTTTGGTCTTGGCGACAAGTAGGCTCGTTGTATGAGCGCCATTCGGCCCAGTGCCCCTCAAATATATCACGGCTGCGTAAGCTCTCTCCGACGCATCGGAGAACCCGTGCAGCTGTAAGTTCGTACGGCCGTCCGCGTCCGTGACTCCCGTCCACCGGGGAATACTCAACCGGTCCAATTCCGGTAAGGCAGACGCTAGTCGCAGCCAGCGATCTTGCAGCGTCGGCGGAAGCGGTTGGTCCCAATCCAGGCCGGCCATCCAGAGCTCTTGCAAAAAGATCTTTGCCCCTATTAGAACAGGAGCAGCCCAACCCGCCGGGTCGAATAGCCTCGCAACGTCTGAGAGCACGGTTCGCTTGGTCGGGTTTCCGATCGAGTGTAGCGTCGGAATTGCTCTCAGTGTGAGCTGGTCGGTGGCTGGGGCCCAGTGCACGCCGAGAGTGCCGACGGTGTCCGCCGTTGAGAAAAGGCGCTCAGTCTTGTCTCCCTCGGGGCAAAGAGCGGCGTGTGATCCGGCCCATTTGCTTAGCTCAAAGCCGCCCGCCTTGAGGAGGCCCACCACCTGGCTCTTGACCTCGAGCGCGTCCTCCAAAGAGCTCGCTCCCGCGAGTACGTCGTCGACGTACGTGTTGGATCTGATAGCGGCTGCCCCTCGAGGGAAACGTGATTCTTCATCTCGCGCCAGCTGTAACAGAACGCGAATCGCGAGGTACGGCGCAGACGCCGTACCGTAAGTGACGGTAGAGAGGCGAAAGTCGTGTACCTCCGCAGCTGGGTTCGCCCGCCATAAGATCCGCTGTAGATCCATGTCGTCTCGGTGGACGCAAATCTGACGAAACATCTTCACGATGTCCGTCGTGAACGCGAACTGATGCAGGCGCCAGCGGGTGAGAACGAGCCAGAGATCCGCCTGCAGTTTTGGACCTGGGAGCAGCACGTCGTTCAAGGAAACGCCAGTCGTGGTCCGGAACGAGGCGTTGAAAACCACCCTGATCCTCCCGTCAGGATCCGTCGGCTTTACTACTGCGTGATGCGGCATATAGTAAGAGCTACAGGCTTCCTTCTCCCCGCTGGGCACCGACTCCATGTGCCCTAACGACAGATAAGAACACATAAACTCTGCGTACTTTGACTTGAGCGACGGCATCCGCTCGAGCCGACGCTCCGTGCTGAGCAGCATCCGTTGAGCCCCCCGACGAGAGGCTCCAAGTCCCGTCGGCGGGTTCTCCCGTCGAGGAAGTCGCACGATATAGCGGCCTCCCTCATCGCGTGTGTGTGTCTCTGCGAAGAGTCGCTCGCAGTATGACTCCTCGGGGGTTTGGATCGGCTCCGTTGACACCTCCTCCAGCTCCCAAAACCGGCGAAGATCTTCTTGAAGATCCGGTGGTAGTATGGTGTGATGGGTGGCGATGCTGTTTGAATCTGCCCTGGTGAGTGGGCCCATCAGCACCCACCCGAAGACAGTCAAGTGAGCGGTTGGCTGTCCTGGGGGGCCGCGCTTCACGCCGCCGTCGAACAACATGCCGTATACGTCGGCTCCCAGCACGGCGTCAACCGCTGCAGGCTTATCAAACTCTGGATCAGCCAATTCCAGACCCTTAAGATGAGGCCAATCGTGCCTCGCAACGCGACTTCCTGGTGTCAGCGTGGTGAGTCTGGACAGCACCAATGCCCTCGGAATTGCTATCCGCAGAGATGGCGACCGGTCGGCTCCAACCATCAAGGTCACCGCATGAGTCGCCTGGCCGGTGGTGACGCCTTGCAGGCCTGAGACCGTGACGTTGACTCGACGTCTCGGCAGTCTCAGCTGCTGAGCCACGCGCTCCGAGACGAAAGACGCCTCTGATGCTGAGTCCAGTAGCGCTCGTACGGTCAGGGCTTTCCCCGACTCTCCGATGAGGCGAACAAGCGCCGTCGCGAGGAGAACTGTGCCGGAGGTGGAGCTGGACAGCGCTGCAACCTGTCCAGTCTCCTCCGAGGACGAAGGCCTCTCCGAGTGCGCAGTGGATTCTGCTGCAGCTCGAGGAGTCTCCTGCGAAGATGTCGTATCGTTCCCCGCCATGTGAAGGAACGTGTGATGCCTCTCGTTGCATTGGCGGCAGCGGAATGAGGATGGACAGGCTCCTGCTGTGTGACCCTGTCCCAGGCAGTTAAAGCATGCTTTCCGCTTACGCACCTGCTCTCGGCGCTGTTCCACCGAATATCCCTTAAAGCGCGGGCACGCCCGCAAAGGATGCCGTTCCTTGCACAGCGGACACGGCGATCCCTTTTCGTCGCTGTTCGTGGAGGTTGCGTGTGACGAGACGTCGTCTCGTCGCCCATTCCGCTTTGATTTGCTCGAGGTCGTCTGCGTCGAAAGTCGCGGCGCGGCGGCGTCCAACGCGCGCGACCGCGTGAGGAGAAACTCCTTGAGCTCCTCATACGTTGGAAAGTCACTGCTCGATTTGCGCGAAGACTCCCATTGGAGGCGGGTAGCGGAATCGAGCTTCTCCACTAGAATGTGGACGAACCAGTCGTCCCATTGTTCCACCGGGCGTCCCATCGCCCGGAAGGAGCGCGATGCCTGATTCACGACACTAATCAGGCGATTGATCTCTGTCGCGGATGATTTCGCCGCTGGCGTAACCGAGAGGAGAACTCGCATGTGCGTCGCGAGTAGCACCCGTCGGTTGTCGTATCTCGACTCCAGCTCTTCCCACGCCGACGAGTATCCTTCCGAGGACACCTCGATATTCGCCACGACGGCCGCAGCCTCCCCGGTGAGGCTTGCCTTCAGATACTGGAGTTTCTGCGTCGCGCCGAGCCCGTCCACGTTATGAACCAACGATTTGAATAGGTCGCGAAAACCCTCCCATTCCAATTGATCGCCGCTAAAAGTCGGCAGATTTATTTTCGGCAATTGGATTTGCCTCATTACCGCACTCGAGTCATCTTTTGACTCCGTGGATTTGGCCGGTGGAATGTACGAGGTAATGCGAGCCTTCATATTTATATAAAGTTCCTCGGTCGTAGAATAAAGGTCCCGTTTCATATAGTCGGACGCGTCCACCCTTTCAAAATCCATGAGCGCGTAATGAGCGTCGTAAAAGGTCGACCAGTATCGTTCTAATAAATCGAGGCGCGCCGAGAGAAACGATCGAGTCATTTTATCTTTCCCGACTTTAACGAGGTTATCCCAAAACCGTTCGATAAAGCCGGCCGTGGTCATTTGTTTTTTCAGCGCGATCTCCATCGTGGAGATTTATACGCGACGGAAAAGCGAGCGTGAGACAAAGCGCGACAACCGCACGTGAAATTCCGCGAAGATACGCTCAGCTGATCGCGGTCGCGAACACGTGAACGCGGCGTGTGCGGAGCGACGGATCGCCCGAGCCGATAGGCAAGATGGGCGCGGAACGCGGGACGTCACTAGCGCGAGAATCCGAGCGACGGGCGGTCGAACCGTAGGCGAAACGCGCGCGGGGGCGCGGAACGGCACTATTGTTTCGATCGCGTGGTCACTCCCGCACTTTCACTTATTTCACTAATCAAAGCGTCACTGTCGCGAATGTCACTAACTCTAATAATTGTTAATAAAAATAAAAATAAATTGTCTAGCAATGTCTAATGTCTAGCAATATAATTACACACAAAGTCTAGAACGAGATAAGATCGCTTACCGTGTGGGCGTCGTGCACGCAATCCGGCTCGAAGGACCAGCAATGTTCTCGTCTCGCCGGTCGAAAACTCGCTCGTTGCGGTTGGAGACGGAGAGTGATGTGGATTGGAAATCGAGACGACGCTTCACACAGTTTACTTCACTCACAACGTATTTAATTGTTCGATAAATAAGACTGAGTTCACTCAGGTACAAATGAGCCGAAATACAGACACGTAATTCGGCCCCGAAAAGCCGTCGCTCGCTCGTGTGACGATCGATAGAAGCTCAGATCGCACACTCACTCTGAAGCGCGCGAAAACGATACGCGCGGGGCCTCCTTCCCCTTGCCCCGAGCTCCTCGATCCACCCTGCAAGCAAGGGGAAGGACGCCCGCGCTGCCGAATATGACAATACTAAATAAAGGGAAAAACGCTGAGTCGGCGCGGTGACAATAGCATGTTTCGA